GTGATCTGCAAGGCTGGGTGCCCCTTATTGAAGAAGTGCATGAACAATCCCAGGTTCTCTTCAGCCAGGGATCTATCCAACAGTGCGCACAAGCCCAAGCATACCAAGCCTCTCTCTCGTACAGGCGCTTCATGACTTCGCACAGCTGGGACCACAAGATTGTTCAACATCGAAACCAGATCGGCGTTATCCTTCAGATTACCAGCCACATGGGTCAACATGCATTGAACGATGTGGAGGCACTTCATGTTGACAACAATTTCCCTAACTGCCTTCTCTCGAGCATCTTCTTCACTTAACTCGGAATCATTGCCTCTCTTCTTGTCATTGGTAGGTGTGCTACCACGGCTCACTTCTGACTTTGCAGAGTGGAAACTATCGTCACGTTCATCCGCAAGGGGATCATCGACTATGGTGTCATGAACATCTGCAACAGACTCGAGGACAATGCTGCAGAACTCACGCTCACCGGCGGCGTCTGGAGCGCAGATATACTGCAATACTTCGACGGTAAGTTTGGTGACTTCATCCGGGAGCTCCGGAATCGATAGGGACTGCCGCAGCAGCCTAAACATTTCTCTTCGACCAACTTCATCGGAGTAATCAAGAGTCAGGGCAATATGAAGCATTTGCTCAATAATGAACTCCTGCTCGACGGTATCTTCCTCCTCCTCTTCATCTGCAGCAGGCTGGCTTGCCCTCTTAAGAGCCTCGATGAGAGCGTCCATGTAGCGCGCAAGGTAGAAAGCGAGTTTGGTCACTTCAGGTAGCTTCTCTTCGACCAGTGACTCGTATCGTCCGCCACCCTCGCTGCGACAGAAGTCGTTGAAGCTCCTGGCCATGAAAACAGACTCAGCAGAAAGTGTTTCCCAAAAATTATCGTCGAACGTGACTGCCTCCCGATAGTCCGGACGGCCCTCCCAAAATCCTTTCATGGCCTCGAGGGCCACACCATTCTCGACTCCAGAATTGATCACATCGATGCGCTCTAATAATTCCAACAAGCCATCAAAACTAATGGGCACAGCTTCTTCCGAAATGCCATCATCTTGCTGAGAAATTCCGGCGCAATCCGCGATCCATCGTTCCCTGAAGAGCCGACCAGCCGCCTTACGAACATTATCATCTCTATCCCGGAGACCCCATCGAAGAAGCTTTTCTCTCATGGAGAGCGAGAGATGTCGAAAATCACCCAGAGCCGGTAGAAGACGGGAGTAAACTGCTCTTCGGGTAGCAGCATCTTGATCTCGGGCCCTCTCGAGCAAAAATGGAAGAGTGTTGGGAAGAATTGGAAGATTTACAAGCAAGGACCGTCGCACATCAGCACTAGGGTCGTTCTGCATGACCTCGAGAAGCTTGCCCAGCAAATCCGTTCCTTGGTCGTTATCACTGTCTTCCGAGTTGGTACAGCCTTCGGCTTGATTGCCAGCAAGACGGCCGAGACCAAGCACAGCTTGGGACCGCACCATGGCCTCTTTGTCGCGAATCCGTTTGAGTAAGCCATGGCGGAGCTTCTGGAACAGGTCGTCATCAATAGCATCTAAAGAGTTGATAATATGTGATATAAGTTGTGTCGATCGATACCGGACAAATTTATCTTTAGCTGTCATCAATGGCAGGACCTCTTCAAGTATTTTTGACGTGAGTCTTGTGCTTGGCGTTTCCGGCATTAAACTGGTGTCTCCCTCAACATCACCCAAGATCTCGTTGTCCTTGTCGTTAGAATGTCGTAGATAGAAACCGACAAATCTAACACACTTCTCTCCGACATTCTCAGATTTCTTCACCGGCATAATCCTCAGCACACAGCGAACAAATTCTTTATTAAAAGCGGCTTCGTCAAATTCGTTGGAGGCCGCATTCGTAGGCATGGCGGGTTCGTAGCAACATGACTCATGAATTTTACGAAGATTCACGGCAAGTTTTCTATGCGTTGCGGTTGTGCGCTGGGAATCGCGAAATACTGCACATATTTTTGTCCGCAATGCGTTGTCTGGAGTATCAACATACTCGATAGCAGCGAATGAGGCGCGTGATGCGACAGAAGCACGGGAATTGAGAGTCGCCGTTGATTGTTTTCGGGAAACAGTGGCCGACTTCCTCGTCGACCGACTGAAAGTCTGTGCGGGCATCGTGTATATTGACGGCGGAGAGTCTGCTCCTTGCTACCAATATTCGTGGGTTGAGAAATGAGAGTTGTTGTTGAGGGGCCCCAGATGAAGCCGTTGTTTAGATATTTGATGGGTCGCGTCGCAAGGGTGTGTTGAAAGTCAACAATGTTCCAAATATGGTTTAGCTCCATTAATGATAACTAAAACCCCCCCGCCATCACGTGCGATAAGATAAAAACTATGGGTCTCGCCTTAGCTCAAGGACCGTTTTTTTTTTTTGGCTATCGTCCGTAGAAGCATTGGTTTTACGGCCCGCAACAGCAAACCTTTCCTCCAACTCAGTTTCCAACAGTCAAAGGCTCGAGAAAGCCTATACACCTAGCCACAATGGCTACCAGTTCGAAGAATGACCGTAAAAGACAACGATCCGAGGTCGAAGAACCACTACCATCAACGGCGGATACCCAAATTGTAGGAGGCCAAAGTACGAAGCGTCCACGAGTAGAGGAACGCAGATCCTTGTTCGTCCGCTCGTTACCTGCGAATGTCACAAATGATACCCTAGCAGACTTTTTTTCTCAGCATTTTCCTGTTAAGCATGCAGTCGTCGTTGTCGATCAAAAGACCAAAGAGTCCAGAGGTTACGGCTTTGTTACACTGGCAGATTCTGACGATGCTCTGGCGGCCAAGACCACTTTGGACAAGGCAGAGTGGGAAGGAAAGCGTATTCGCATTGACATAGCTGAGCCAAGGAAACGAAACGCCGCCAATTCAGAGGATACCGTCCCTAAAAGGCCTGGGAGAGAAGAAAGTCAAAGGCCACCGAAGCTCATTGTGCGAAATCTGCCTTGGAGCATCAAGACCTCTGAGCAGCTCTCCAATCTATTCAGAAGTTATGGAAAAGTCAAATTTTCCGACTTGCCTCAGTCGAAGGGGAAGCTCCGGGGCTTCGGGTTTGTCACAATTCGGGGCAAGAAGAATGCGGAGAAGGCCTTGGAGGGCGTGAACGGCAAGGAAATCGATGGCCGGACATTGGCAGTTGACTGGGCTGTGGACAAGGAGACCTGGGAAAAACAGCAGGATCTGGAGGCCGAAGACGAAGTTCCCAACCGTGAGGAAGAGAATCGTACGGATGAGAAAACCCTTCCGGAAACTGCTTCGTCGAGTGATGACGACAAGGATGACAACGACAATGACGATGACGGTACCGCTTCTAAGCCTGATAAACACAACGAACTCGACGCAGATTTAGAAAATTTTATGAAAAATCACATGCAAAACATGGAGGACGAGGATGAAGATGACGAGGACGATGACGAGGACGACGACAAAGTGGACACTAGCAAGTCAAGTGCAGAGAAGAAAACTACCGATAATTCCTCCACTGTTTTCATTCGAAACCTTCCTTTTACAACGACGGATGAGCAACTCAAAGGATTCTTTTCTCATTTCGGTGCTGTGCGTTATGCCCGAGTTGTCATCGACAAAATTACAGAAAAGCCTGCTGGCACTGGGTTTGTATGCTTCGTGAAGCAATCCGATGCCAAATCGTGTATTAAAGAGGCACCTCGACCTAACGCGTCGGCCGCGGGGTCGAAGCCGTCACTACTGCTGGACGAGAATGCTGACCCTAGTGGTAAATACACTCTTGACGGCCGTCTCCTCCAAGTTGCTCAGGCCGTGAACAAGGCGGAGGCAGCGAATCTAGCTGATAATTCGCTTGCGAAACGCAGAGAGAAGGACAAGCGCCGCCTATATTTGCTCTCTGAAGGAGCCATTGGACGAGGATCTCCTCTGTTCGATTTACTCAGTCCTTCTGAAATTCAAATGCGCCAGGCCAGCGCTGCACAGCGGAAGAAACTTGTTCAAAGCAACCCTAGTCTCCATCTCAGTCTGACACGACTGTCTCTGCGGAATATCCCTCGAAACATTGGTTCGAAGGAGCTGAAGGAACTCGCAAGAAAGGCTGTTGTGGGCTTTGCCGTGGATGTGAAAGAAGGTCTTCGGCAACCCTTATCCAAGGAAGAGAATGCCCGAGATGGTAAAGATGCCAAAGAGAAGGAGCGCCAACGAAAATTGAAGGGCAAGGGCATTGTTCGACAAGCTAAAGTGGTTTTTGAAAGCAACCAGGGATCCAAGGTTGATGAGATGAGTGGTGCTGGAAAGAGTCGTGGATATGGTTTCATTGAATACACGTCACACCATTGGGCTCTTATGGGGTTGCGGTATCTCAATGGCCACCAGCTTCAAGGCGACAATGGAAAAAAGCAGCGACTGATTGTTGAATTCGCCATTGAAAATGCGAACGTTGTTCAGCGTCGGCGTGCCGCCGAGGAGAAGTCGGGTGAATCGCAGCGAGAAGGACGCAACACCCGAACTGAATTGGCAGATACTAGCAAGGGCAGGGCACCAAAGTTAGAACGACGCGGAAAGGGTGCGAAGCATGAAAACGGAGAAACGCGAAGCCATGGCGATGATAAACAAAAACACGGAGCGTCTAAGGCTGAGGACATGCAGCAGAGACTTATTGCTCGTACAAGGTTGATGAGAAAAAAGAAGGCGAAGGCTCGGGGTAAGAGTTAATACAGGCGGTAAGATGGTTTTCTCGAGACACGGCCATTGAACAACATTTCACGTAAGCATTTAGCAAGTTGCATGCTTGGGAAGGCAAAAAAGCAGTAGACGGCTCAACGTAGCTATTTATATATTATCCACAAGGAAGAGGGAGCTCAATTGGCATCAGAAAGACGTAATCAACTATCCCGAGAGGGACAAGTCCATCCAAAGAAAAAGAAACACCACGTTCCCACGATGTAGTAAATTGGGTGAGGAGTGATGATTTCCCCCAAGGAAAAAAAAAATCACTAATCAGGTTGGGGGTATGAAGCGTTATTTCCAAAACCAGCTTGATTTCTTAGAGTCGGCCCCAATTTCGAGGGGTTCGTTGCTTCCGGCTTCAATGTTGTTTTCGTTATCCAGGTGCTTATCGGCTGGGCGAATGGTAACATAGGTTTCACTGCCAACCTCGTTCCCATCTGCATCCAACGTTTTGCGGGTGACGGTTTTGTGCAAGTAGCCAAACCGATCCACATGCTCATTTTCGTTTGTCACAACCTTATTCGTATCGTGACTATCAATGTATGCCCCATGCTTCCCTTCTCGAGACTGAAGCTTGGCTTCTTCTGAGATACTCTTGACGAATGTATCCCACGATGAGGCGCTCTCCTTGAATTTTGAGGATATCTCAGAGAAGAGCTCCTCAAAGGTATCGGGCCCTTTATCCAGTTCCATCTTTTCCTCGCGGCCGGTATAGGAGTTCTTTGCGCTATCCCCCCCAAACCCCCGTTCCAGTTGTTTGAATGCTCTGCCTATGTCTTCAAAGAAGTTTCCAGAACCAGGGGCATCATGGCCATAGCCTTTGCTGACGCTTCGCCAAGCATCAGCCGCTTGCCGGTCCAGCTCTTCGTGAAAGCTAGTCCAGTCTGGCTGGTGTGCTTTGAAGAACTGAGCACGACTGGGAACCTGGACTAGGCCCTGGGATTCAAGGCGTCGCAGCCAAAACCAGGTGGGTTCTCCGGAGGGGAACATATCCCGGAGCAGTCGCCTTTGCTGATAGCGAGTTGTGATGTCAGGGAGACTCTGGCCTTGCGAGACAGCAAGGAGATCCTCAAAGGCGTCTTCAAATGTGAAAATAGAGCCATCTACTCCCGTGGGCAGATGGTTAGGAACAGGTTGAGGAAGGTGGCGAAGTGTAGTTGGTGCATAAGTCGGGGAGGAGATCAGCGATAAGACGTCCATGGTGGCGTGCCTTTTGTTGTCGTGGATGTCCATGGTTAAAGTCCTTGTGGTGAATATGACTGACGGGAGAAGCCCGCCTCCTCAGGTTCGATATCTCCAGCGTTACCCGTAAGGTCGTGGCTGCACAGACGTTGCGGTGGGCGGAATGAGTGGCACGCTTTGCGGGGAGTCTGTGGCGAGGAAGGTGAGAATGGCCCTATGTTACGCGAGAGAAAGATGCATCAATGAGAAATGCTTCAGGAGGACCCCGAGTCTGGCGATATCCAAATAAACGTTGCCGTTGGACGTGTTGCTCAAGAAGTGGTATTTGGCCTTTGGGGTCATGAACAAGTCGTGGCCTTGTATGAGCTCACGAGTTGCACGAGTCTGGTTGACATCTGAATGATTTTTGTGGGCCCCGGCTTCCGAAAAGCAACGCCGTAGTGTCCGAGCATCGCCGCTGCAGGCTGCGAGCCCTCTAGGGTAGCCAGGTCAATACTCCGTACTCGAGGTAGGTACGAAGCCGATGGAACCTGAGGAACCTGCGCTTGTTGTTCTGGTGTCTGGCGAGACATTGAAGCTATAAAACGCATGTTTTAATGGTCAAAAGGAGCACTGGGAGCCAGAACCCCGGTTTCAGTGTGGCAGCCAGGCAGCTCTTGACCCGAGCTTTTTAGCTATTCATAGTCGCGCTCACATCGCAACCTAATAATACTCCATGTACTCCGTACCTACCTGCTACGTACGGTAGATACCTAAGTAGGTATGTAGGGTAAGCACCTGCGAGCTACTCCGTACTCTGACGTACTACGGACGAATGCGACGTATGCCAAGCCTCCGTACTAACAGCCCCACCCATGTCGAACGCCGCTCCGCAACTCACCTCAAGTGCTTTCACAAACGTCACGTCACATCACACCTGAAGTCTGCAGCGACCGACTTCTCCTAGGGCTCTTCTTGAGTTTCCCTCTATGTCGCCACATCCAAGAGTAGCCATGATCCGACTAGGCCCTTGATCCGGAAAGCTTCTATCTTATTTCCTATCTGCCTGTCCTGCAACCCTGATGGTCCTGGGAGCCGAGCGCTTCAACAATCTTCAGCTTGCCCTCGAAAGCTTCCCGCGACTGCGTCTGCCGGCCACGACGCTCGCGCTGCCTCGATGGACACTGCGACAGGGGCCTTGCCATGGTCATTAACCACCGCGGCTACGCGACCCGCGGCGAGCATAACAACGTCGACGGCAGCTACGGCTACAGCTACACAGTCCCCCGGCGACCCCGGCGAGGTTTTGCAGCAATGGTCATCTCTCATTGGCATCGTCACAGCCATCGTCGGTAATGTCCTCATTGCGTTGGCTCTGAATGTCCAGCGATATGCGCATACGCGACTACATAAGGAACGAGTGCGTGTACGGCAGCGGGCGCGTGCTGCCTTGAAGCAGGCGCAGAGTAGCAGCAATGGTGCATCGTCGTATGGCACCATGCCCGGAGAGCCTAACGGGCATAGGAACGGCAACGGACGCAGTCATGATGGCTCTGTAAACGGTGCCAGTCGAGTCCATGATGGGCCAGAATCAGTCGAAACTGATCCTCTATCTCAGTCTTCCCAGTCAATCGCCCCGACCGACGTTGACAGCGCTGATGGAGAACATGACAAAACTACATCAACATACCTCAAGTCCCCATATTGGTGGCTGGGACAGATCCTCATAACTCTGGGCGAAATGGGTAATTTTTTGGCCTATGGATTTGCTCCTGCTTCGATTGTGTCACCATTAGGCGTCGTGGCATTGATATCCAACTGTATCATCGCGCCTGTAATGTTCCACGAGCGATTTCGCGCCAGGGATTTCTGGGGCGTCGTAATTGCTGTTGGAGGAGTTGTTACCGTTGTCTTCAGCGCAAATCAGGAGGAGACCAAGCTGGAACCTCACGATGTTTGGCGCGCAATCACTACCATGGAATTCGAAATCTATCTCGGTGTCACAGTCTCGTTGATTGTCTTGTTGATGTGGGCAAGCAGCAAATATGGTAGGCGCACTAGTCTGATAGATCTCGGGCTTGTGGGACTTTTTGGTAAGCGACAAATCCCACCTTTCCCTTACCCATTGCATTGCGATGATATTAACCGTGAATCTCAGGTGGTTATACTGCGTTAGCAACCAAAGGCGTTTCATCTATGTTGTCATCGACGCTTTGGAGAGCCTTCACGACCCCAGTTACATATGCTCTGCTTCTCATTCTTCTCGTCACAGCAATCATGCAGATTCGATATGTTAATAAAGCATTACAGCGCTTCAACTCCACACAAGTCATCCCCATTCAGTTCGTTCTTTTCACACTTTGCGTCATTCTGGGAAGTGCTGTTCTTTACCGAGACTTTGAAAAGACGACGGAAAAACAAGCCGTAACCTTCGTAGGCGGCTGCCTCCTCACCTTTTTTGGAGTTTTTCTTATCACCAGTGGTCGGCAACAAAATGAGGCCGATGATGAGGACCTATTGTCTGATATCGACGGGATCGAGGAGACTATTGGCCTAACAAGACACGGGGAAGCAACGGCGGGCCCTCCACCAGTCCAAGACGTTGAATCACCGAAACCACCGTCTCAAAGATCTAGCAAATTGTCGAGAGTCAGCTTTGCGGATACAGCTAAACCACAATTTCCTCAAGACAAGTCCGACAAACCACGAATCCGTCAAGGCACATCCGACAGCGCGCCAAACTTAATCGATATTGAACCAGATACTCCTGTTTTATCCGATAACCCTTGGCGAGAGTCTTGGTCGTCCGCTGCGTCCCTTCCTCGTGGCACACGAACCTTCTCTACCGACTCGGCGGTGGCGGAATCTGCTGTGATTTCAACACCAAGCAATTCTGCTGCCACGACTCCCGTCCGAGACTCAGCTTTCACCCCTACATACCCTACAGACAGACCCTTCACTCCTCGTCAGAGTTCGGGAGGACTCTCCCGGGTTCCGAGCCATCATCGCTCCAAGACTTTCATATCGCCATCGCCGCTTTCTTCTACAGTCACGACTGTTGTAAAGGACGCATTCCTACGAGGATATGACGCATCTTTGGCAAATACATCATCACTGAGAAGAATTCGGTCTAGCATCCGTGCGGGTCTGTTCTTCAACTTTGACGAAGATGAGCAGAATATAACAACATCGGACCTTCCATTGCCAAGTCCCCTGGAGCCTTCTGAAGATGAGCATAGCGAGACAGATGACCCATCGCGAAGGCGGTCGCGAAGCGTCAGTGACGTAATAGGAGATTTCTTCCGTCCTAAGAAAAAGAGCAAGAATGATACCCCAAGCGGTGACGTGGAGTCTGGACCGTCTCATAATTCTGAGTAGCATAACGCCAGTCACTTGCAATCTAGATAATAAGCTTCATACCCCATAGTTTCAGCGCAGTCCAAAAAGTCTGTGGAAAGACGGGCTTCTTCCCAGGCTTCTTCTTTTTCCTACTCTGCGATTCGTTTTCTTCATTTCCTGTTGGCATACTACAGTGATTTCTCGTTCTGTTTTACGCGATACGTTTGGCCGCGAGTTACAGCAAGGGAGCTGTTTTCGGTATTTGGCGTGTGTGGCGAGCATCTATCTGTGCATAAATTGGATTTCTCACATCTCATGCATTCCTCATCTAGAAGAGCTAGCGTTGTCCTTTCTTTCCCCCCCTGAAATCGACATGGGGAATCTTCCTGACTGCAGTCATTTTGTGGCGAACTGGGCAGAGGATTCCTTGATTCAATGTACACACAATACGGAGTAGATGAAATTGGTAACTGCATGACCGCACTGATATCTCATTTAATACTGATGGCACTACGTACGGAATACGCCGCAGGGCTTGACGTGTTTCTTGCCCTGTATTTGGCGTTAGTAGTACTCTGTTTGCGAATTGGATGCCATTTCTTACGTGACCATGTTACACGGCAGGGCTGAGTGTCCAAGTCTGCCGGAGGCCGATTTTGGTCGGGGCAACGGCATCTATGATCTGATGTTGTCTCAATGACAAAGTAGGGTTATGCTCCCTTCGGCCGAGACACTCACTCCTATTTAAAAGAAGAATCACCGGGGAAAAGAAATGAAGAGAACCTTGCATCGCCGTATGAATCGGATGAATGCCGACACACACATACGTACACATCATCAGATGTGTTCTTCATGCAGCTCTCGTCACACACACGGACAAGGGGGCCCTTCACTTGTTGATTCTCGTACGGAGTATGCAGTCCATTGAATCACACGCATGAGCTCTCAGTAACACACGCATTAATGTCTCTCCCAAGATGAGCAGCATGCTCGGCTAGAAAACGAAAAAACGGGGGCAATGCGGACGTTTGCTGTTTTGTTCCTGGTTGAAGAGACAGCCATATCGCAGGGCACCGCCCACATCACATGATGAGGCTGTTTCTTGCTGCGCATTAGCATAGATACGAGGAAATGGCATATTTTTCTTCGTTCTTTCCCCTGTCCATAATAGCAGGCAGCCCTCCCGAGGCCATGGGAATAGCAAACAAGGCCCCAGCCGCAATGTTATGCAATCAAAACCCGGGGGGATGGAATATCCGCCTCGTCATGCCTGATGATTGATGCCCTGTCGGACCGGGATGGGGACAGAGGACTCCATGTGCGCGTTTAACTTTGTTCATTCTCTTATTACTACCCGGGGGGATGGATCAAGGTCGAACACGATGTTTGCATGAATGTAAAGTGGCCGGGGGGGGGCGAGGTTTTGCATGTTCTCTGGGAAGGGGAAGCGGCCAAAGGGGGAAAGACGAGGCGGTCGGTGGAAGGAATCGAGCGACGGCCTCCCCAAAAGCGAAATGCACATGCTCCAAAGGACAAAAAGGTTTTGATGGGCTTCCGAATCTGCTTGTGACAAGCGTTGGATGGATGTTTCACTTGCGAAGGCTAATGGCTAATGGCTAATGGCGAGCGACTGAGCACACGGTCCTCTCCTCTTGCCTCCATCCCGCTGCCCCGAGACACGGCATCTGAGCTTAAAAAAAAAAGCACTGTCCGGGTAAAGTGGATGGCAAAAA